GCATGAGCCACCGCGCCCAGCCTGTATCATATATTTTAATGTTTTATTAAATTCAGTTTAGCATTTTGTTATATGTTTGACTCCCATTTAACAAACAAATGTGTGTTTAAAACATGTAGGCATATTAATCTATACCCCCTTATGCATTTTCCCAAAGAAATAATGTTATAAAATGATAAGTATAGTCCCCAGAAAGTTTATTCAACACATCATGTAGCGAAATGCTATGTATCTGTGATGACAAATAGTAAGAACATAGTATTCTTACAGTGATAGTAATTAAAACACAGCAACCACAAAGTACATTAAAAGTACGAAGCTGGAAATATTGGTAATTTTGCATCATTCCCAAGGTTGCATCCCTCAGAGCCCCTTTCCATGATCCTGATCCAATTATGTTATTCATGAGAAATTTTAGTTAGAATATACTTCTAATAGATAATATAACAGTAGACAATTTTACTTTTTTGGCTTAAATAAAATAGATTTATCTGAAGTAAGCCACCTAGAAATGTTTTAAATGCAGGCCTGGTACAGTGGCTCACACCTATAATCCTAGCATTTTAGGAGGCTGAGGCAAGAGGATTGCTTGAGGTCGGGAGTTCAAGACCAGCTTGGGTAACACTAGCAACATACCGAGACCTCATTTCTACAAAAAATAGAAAAATTAGCCAGGTGTGGTGGCTCATCAGCTACTTGGGAGGCTGAGGCAGTAGGATCTCTTGAGCCCAGGAGTTTGAGGTTGCAGTGAGCTATGACACCACTGCACCCTATAGCCCAGGCAACAGAGCAAGACTTTGTCTCGAAATTTAAAAAAAGAAAATTAAATGCATACTAAATGCACTGAATAGTTTCTGTAGATCTAATTTTATCTCTAAAGTTGCAATTTTTCATTTTTAACTTTGAAACATACACATCTATTCATCTTAGTCACCAATAAATCTTTGAGATTTATTGTGATCTTTAAGATAATGATTCCTTCAGATATTAAACTATATTAATATATTCTCCCTTTGAAAATTGAGTATTTGATTTTGAATGTTTTGTAAATAGGAATATTTTTAAATGATTGCCTACTACAGTAGGACATTATCAGGTAAAATGTTCATCATTTATTCAGCATTTCTTTTTTTTCTTTTTTTTTAAATAATTTAATTCTTATTTTATAATTAATTATTTTTTTTAATTTTCCTAAATGTAAGAACGTGTTCTGTAATATATTCAGCATTTCTTAAGTGCCTACTATATATTATATTAAGCAATGTGGAATACAAACATAAAACAACACCTGCCTAATAAGGGACAAAACAAGTGTTTGAACTTATTAGGTCTTTTGACTGTCAGACTTACTACTATAAAACAATGCAATTTTACCTTCTCTGAGATAAACTAAAATAATGGTATTAAGATCGCATGTTTTCTTTCACCAAGATTCAGTTTGCCTTGACAATGTCTTATATAATTAATACTGATTTCAAGGGAATATAGAATATGCTTTGTATCAAGCTAGAGGATAAATTGAAACCACAATTCTTTGTCAAGAGTATAGTATATTCTGGAAGTGTTTTTGTTAGTAATTTATTTCCAGTTTTAGAAACAGTTATTTGTGGCTGTAGAATTGGACTTTTAAAAGGCCAATTTTTATAAGGAACTTTATCTGAAGACTGCTACATTCGAAGGGGAAAGTAGGACACAAAAGAGCTATGGACCAAAACTATGCATTCTGAATTGAAATCCCCAAATTATAAAGTCATAGGGAAATTCTGAGCCTAAAAATTAATTCTGAAAAATAATTACTGCTTCCTAACCAGGTTAAATATTTAAGAGGTATTTTCCCACTTTTTAAAGAGGTTGAAAAAAGCATCTAAGCTTCACATAGTCCCTTCAAAATGATTTACACATGGCATAGTATAAAAGGTACTTAATGGGATTCTGAAGCATTATATCAATATTTTTTTCTTGTAGCACATACACAAGTGGATACCAAAATAAGCTATTTTGAAACTATTTAAATATATCTACTTTCTTACTATAAGATAAATGTTGGATATTTATATCTCACCAGTAATTAAATTAACTTTATAAAAATTCACAAAACAGAGTGCTTGTATTCCTTGCCTTTTGATACCTTTGATGTTAGTGTTAAATGTCTATAGTCACATGGTTTAGCTTGGGCTTTCTGCAGGAAAGCATAAAAATCTTTTATTGCAACATGCAGTAGGGCATGAGCACTTTTTAACTGTAGCAATCTCTATGCATTTATAGAACTGTGAGAATGCTTAAGTTTAGACTCAGCTTGAAATTAAAACGATAAAAACTGCTAAGAAGCCTGAATATATCTATTTTAACAATTCTCTCACCAATTCATAAGGCTTTCTCTGCTTCTAAGGAAACTAACGTTATTATTTTTCTGTGTTCTATAAGTCCTTGTTTCAACCAAAAATAATGATTTTGTTCATATGCAGTTTATTAAGATGAATTTTCAAGGATTTGTGTTTCACTTGTAGAAATGCCACTTGTCATTTTGCACTTGTACTCACATGGTATTTTCTTTCTTTAGGACTATTTCATGGTTAAGCATTAATTACATTTATGGCCCAATTAGAGTACAAAGTAACAAGAGAATAATGGTAAATTTGTAAGAAGAACAGAATAGCAAAATGGAAGCTTCTACAGGATTTATTAGGAGAATTCAAGAGCCTGAATAGCAAAATTATTAAAGCTGCATTGAAAAAGCCACTTCCCCTTAGTAGTTAATTGACCTACCTAATGAGTTGAAAAATAGATTATGTTGGGAAGAGAGGCAGTTAATGAAGCAACCCTAGAAATTCTCTATGCTAAAATAAAAATCCTTGGCAACTAAGCCTTTGTCAAATTGACCTTCATTATGTAGTTATTTATCTGACTTTTATATAATGAATAAAAGCTATACTTAATGCAGATGTTAAAGTAGGTTCTAGACAAGAAAATTATTTTATATTGCCTTTATTCCACCTTTGCCTGTAACAATATTGATGTATCTATAAAGTTAAGTTCTATAGTTTCTGCACTTTGATTATTCAATATCTTTATTGTATATACTAAAAAAGATAAATGTATCTTCATGAAAAAATAATTGTGATGCTATTCTTACTCTTAAATTTTGGTTGTTCTTATATAACTAATTGATCATAGTATCTTTATTTTTTTTTAACTTTGAAAGCATTATTCTAAGTGAAAGAAGCCAGACACAAAATGTCACATTTGGATGATTACATTTATATGAAATATTCAGAATAAGTAGAGACCATATTGGTGGTTTCCAGGGACTGAGGGGAGAGAGGTATGGAGAACGATTGCTAATGGGTACTAGGTTTCCTTTTGAGATGATAAAGATATCTTACAACTAGACAGAGGTAATGGTTGCACAATATTATCAATGTACTAAATACTACTTAAATGTAAACTTTAAAATGGTTAATGCTTAATTTTATGTTATGTAAATTTTACCTCAGGTTTTTAAAATGTGCCTATAAGAATTTAAACAGCATACAGTTTACTTCCTTATTTTACAAAATAAGTATAAATAATTACAAATTATGACTGTTATGAAGAAAATAAACAAAAAGGACAAAATGGATAAAGATCAAAGATTTCAGCCATAGGCTTGCCCAAAAAAGTTATTTGTAATGTCTGTGACCTTGAACCCATGTCTGGGCCTCAATTTCCTTTGGTGACATGGTTTTTATTCTCTCTCCCTCTTTTCCTCTTCCTTACTCTTGGAGTCTCCAGAGGCGAAATTTGAAAGTGCTCATGCTATACCCCTATAATATTATGAAATTTTTTTAAAAAGGAAAATAAATAAATAAATAATTTTATTTAACTAGTTAATTGAACTCCCTCTACAGTCTTTTGCTAACTATAAATTCAGAATAATTATCTTCCTTTTTTTAGTAGAAAGTGATCAATATAGTTTTGCTATTTTTATTTTTCTAGCTTAATATTCCTAGAATATTAGAGTTGAGGAGGACCTGGCTTCTGAAATTCTAATCCAGTATTTCTCTGGTCATAGTATCTTTAACTGAAGGTTTAAATATGAATTCAGCAGTTAATTTTAAAATGATAAAAATAATGACCAAAACATAAGAGGACAAAATGAGAAGCTCTCCAAGTTCTAAAAGGAAATTTTATTCCTTATTTAATAGAGATAATTTAACCTGTAAAATAGAAATACTAAAAGAAATGTAAAGGAGGCACACAATCCTATATAATGTTGATTCATAAAGGGCTAGGAATTTTTTTAAGTGTTTATATTTTAGGGAATTTAATACCAATTGATTTTTGTTTCAGAACAAAACTCCCTTCTTTCAATTTGTAGTGAAGGACAGTTATCTACACAGAAGATTGAATAAATGATTAATTCTAGACCTAAGTTGCTGCATAGCTATAGAAAAGATATAGAAAAGATAAAGAGGTGAAGCAGTAAACCTTATTAATTTGACATACCATGTGCACTAATAATTGGAAATTTTGATGAAAATGAACAAGTTAGGGGATGGGAAGGAAAAAATAGAGTTTATTGGTCAGTCACTATTTTTAAATGTCACTGATGGTTACAATTTAAATCTTGAATCATTAGAATGAGCTAGAGAACAATGACTTTTGCCCTGAATTAAACCAATCTGTAGTGATGCAAGAGAGTTTTAAATTAGCCTAAGGTGCTTGCCACTGTTGAGTAAATATTTTAAAGCTTTGATTTGGTAACTATTTCTTATATCCCTAACCTAAGAGAAAACAACACATTTTCCTTTTAAATACACTCCATATTTCCTTATGACTTCCCAACATTTTCTTTTCCACAAAATCAAGTTTTTAATTTACAAAAAGCCATATTCACAAGTAAAAAGTCTTTTAAGACTATATCCCAGAAAATTTGGTAAGGAAATGATGTAGGTAGTGACTATAATTATGACATAGTGAGTATTCTTTTACATCACTGTTACCATGGAGTTGTAGAACTACAACAGTACACTTCATTTGGAGGACTTGCCTTGCTACAAGAGGTTTCCTTTTGAGTATCCTCTTTCTCCACCTTCAAAATAATCAGATTTTTCTTTCCGATTTTTTTCCAAGTATTTATGGAATCAAGATTTAGACAACTGCATCATATTCTGTTAATTGGTGCCATCTACACATGAAGTATTTGAACCTGGAAAGTATTTTATGTTTAAACATTTGGGTTTGGATATTTGGATTATGTTTAGATATTTGGTTTTAGTTATCTGAGAGTGTTAAGGTAGATGGCTATGTTCCTATTATTTGTAAAGGGATTTAGTTACTTCTTAAATCTATCTAAGCAATATGAAGTTTTATTTGGCAGTTAACATCATAGATTAGAAATCAATTGTTTGAATTTGATCTGAGTGGATCAAATTATGAATGACTTATTTAAACCATTCTTCATGCTGTAAAATGGAGCTATCTTTGCCTTCATATGCATGAGGAGTGAACAATCATGTAAAAACACTTGACTCCAAATTTTATAACTCATCTATGAAGATCAATGGTTATTTTGAAATGTTGCCATAAGATAATTTCAGTTAAGTAAACATTTCTAGAGAGAAAAATTAAAATGGCTTTTCTCAGGAGTATTTCATTACGTTTGTCATTTAAAACCATGACTTCATCTGATTAAGATTTCATTTTCTTTTTAGAAATATCATTTCTTGTGAAAGCCAATCTTTTCAGCTATGACTGAACGAGGGCTTACACCTACTATTACTGAAACACCTCCTATAGCTCCCATTATCAATGGGAGTCCCATGCACCAGGTAAGGGTAATTCTTTTTTTATTATTATTTATTATTATTATTATAACTGGTCAAAATTTTCTTGAATCTAGTATGAGTTTTTATTTAGAAAAAGTGTGTCACTTGTTATGATTGGTCACTTGTTTTGGAAGCGTCTAGTCTTTTCACCAACATTGGTTTATCTTTCTTATAGGCCTTTTAAAATTACTTGAGGCACTTAAAACTAGTGTTGAGACCACATACAACTAGTTTAGGCCACATACAACTTCCCTTGGGGTTGATTTAGATGCTTTTTCAGCCTCCCTTGATCAACTAAAAAATCCTGGTGTTGTGCTTTAAAGTCTATGCTACCACGGTTTCTTCTGATATATAGTTTAAAAATATGACTCTAATGCAGACTAAAGTTCCTTCATACTCATTCATAGCTATGAGCTCAACTTTCTAATATTTAAAATATTATATTTGAGAAGCAATTACTTTTTGTATAGGATTGATTTCCAGAAAGAAAAGGAGGATGTAGTTCAGATTTAACATTTGCTCCTTCTTTAAATTAATCTATTCAAGAGAAGTCCTATCTTAATATGTAATATAAAAAGATCACTAACTTATCTGGAGTTTTAAAAAGGGCAAAGATTGTACTGGTAGCTTATGTTTTGTTTGATATGACCACATCAAAAGGAATTGAGATAAAATGACCTTCTGAAGTTAAAATTACTTTTATTTTACTAGATGGAGAGTTATCCTCTGGACACTACTGTTGCAACACAGTATACTACCAATTATTCACAAATGATGACTCATCCCAAGAGATATACCAGATGGCCTTCTTGTCCTCAGTACTGGATACAACAAGTATGTCTAAACCTTACCTTCAGATATTTTTTCTTTCGTTTTTCATTTGGTGTTTTTTTTTTTTCAATGGGGGTGGAGTTGGGCTTTCCATCTCAATACATTTATTTTCTATGACCTTATTATGTTTAATTTTACTTGGGTGGGGGAAGGCCTGATCTTACTAAAGAGTAATGAAATTCTTCTGAGTGCCTATTGATCCAATTATACTCTTCTCCTTTAGCATTTTAAGAGCCTCATAATTATAACTGGTCAAAATTTTCTTGAATCTAGTACTAGTTTTTATTTAGAAAAAAATATGTCACTTTTTAATGTTATTCAAAAGGATAATAATAATTTTTCATAGATTAACAGGAAACTTTGTCATTAAAGAATTGTTTATTTCCAGGTTATACTGGTGCAAGTTAATCCTGGAGAGACCCTCACTATCAAGTCTGATGACGGGAACATTCAGAACATTCAAGGTCAGTTAAAGTTCAGTTAGATGTTTGTAGGGTTTTTTTAGGAGAAGGAAAGAGAAGTTTATTAATTTGCTGGCAAATGAGGAGGTTGGCAGACTCCAGTATTAAAGTACCCACATCCTGCTTCTAAGCAGAAATACAGCTTTTAAAGGAGATGGTTCTAATTAATCCCATCTTCAGCTAAAACAATCTCATGACCTCTGATTAATCCCATCTTCCGTTAAGACAATCTCATGACCTCCACCTGGATAACTCCCTTGAGCCATTCCCTGTGGCACAAAGAACAAAGGACATTCTCCTGCCCCTCCTGACTACTGGCTTGAGGCAAAGATATAGGTTTTAGTTCTCAAAAAGGGTGAAGAAGTTTTGAAGAGACACAAAACATTTTTACCCTTTTCAGGCCATTCTCTGTTTTATATTCCCCACTGTCAATTTTACCCTTCCATATCTATAGAAGGAAGGGTGACATAGTCATCAAACTACTTCCTGCTGAATTGTGGCAATGTTTTAGATGGAAGGTACAGATTATCAGGTGGAAAAGGACATAAGCAATAGCTACAACCATGAGGACTGACAAGGTAAAATGGATTGTTGCCTTGAACACAATGTCCCATACAGGGCTGGGTTAGAAAAGAAACATGGGACCTCTGAGTACAGAGCTATCAGTTGTACCCTGTAGGTGATCTGAGAGATTGGCTTCTGCAAATTCAGAAACCATGTACAGAAACACTTGCACAAAATGAGGTTTAGGATAACACACTCAGCAGCAAGTCAGATCAACAAAAGAGACAATAGCCCCAGGAAATCCTCACTAAGGAGTTGTCCTCCTATCCTATAGACAGAACCAAAAAAGATTAGCAAAAATACCAATATTTTCTCTTTTTTTCCCTTTTTCTCAGATACTTTAGATTGCCCAAGGCTGGCCCCTCCACTGAGGGCTATACCTCTTTACTTTGGTATGATGGACCCAAGGTTTCACCTCTGACAATTTTAACGAGGTGTGAGTTGTTAAAGGTACTTCACAGAGTCCCTTCCACTTCTCTGCTTCCAACTGGGGCAGGGACCTGAAAGAGGCAAACTCATGCATAGTGGTTAGCACCTGACCCACTCAATTGACATATTGCTTTACTCTATTTTCTTTTACTTATGGTTGTATTACCATACTTACCTCAGGGTGCTAAGAAGGATCTCTCATAAACTATTTCTTAGGAGCTTAACTTAAGCCTGCTTCTAAAGGGTTACTTTTATCTAAAGGAGGGCAAGTGGCAATGCCTTATACCACTTTAGCTAGGTTCCACGTAATTTCCAGTCTAGATAAATGGCTTTGTTTACTTGCTGGGTTACCTCCATTACAAAGGAGGGTCCATTATCACTATGTATGGGGAAAAGGAGCCTATGAACATTTTGATGACCTGTGGGATTATTGAGTCCATCATGTCCAGATTTTTTGAGAAACAGTTTACCAGGTTCCCACTGGGGGTCCACTCAAAGAAGTTTATGGGCGACCACAGGATGTTGTGCAGTATATCCAAGTGTAGATGGTGGGAAACAAAGATTCCCCCAATGGGCACTGTCATATAGTAGCCAAATATGGTGATACATTGGGCTGTTGAGCTGTCTCTGCAGCTCCCTGTCCATGGCCTCCATGACTAGCATGTTATTCTCCATTCGCTTGGCCTCGTTCCCTGGATTTTTGATCTCCGTCATCCCATCATCCTCCAAGGCCTGTTCTTGTACATGTACAGGAACTTGGCAAAGGCCCTGTCAGCACCTGGTAGGAGCCCATCTTGGAGTGAGTTCCTCTAGAAGGATTCTGGTAACCACAGATGCTCTTTTCTTTCCGCCGGGTAATATAAGCCTCTATCGAGCCTAAAAACATATCTAGCAATACAAGCCAGTAGTAGCCCATCTCAGAACATCAGATGTTCTCTCTGTTCAGGTAGGACAAACCTATACCCAGCCTGAAAAAGTATCTACCAGTGCAAGCCTAGGCAACTAACTGAAACTGCCAATCATCAAAAGGGTGGACCCCCACATGTTGAGCTCCCTGTGTAGCGCATTGCTTTCTGTCCTTGGACTGCCCCAAGCACATAAACCGTTAGTTGCAAACAGGGCACCTTCAAATGAAGTCTCACCAAATCCATCAAGGCATCATGCTCCCAATGGGTGTATTCATGTGGGTGCCTCATCAGAGGCTGAACCAAAGCTTTGGGTAGGAGACGAGTCTGTAAGAATTCTGTCTCCATTTAGCTGTGCTATCCCAAATGTCACAACACCAGTCTTCAGTTTTTAATGGGGTCTAAATCTAGCTGGGGTATCAAGGCCCTGAGGAACAGATCACCTCCAGCAGCCTCCTTAGCAGCTCTGCCAGTGACCTGATTTCTTTTTGTCATACTGGCCACCCACCTGGGCTCAGCTACAGCCTATATTAGGGCCATTATCTTGGTGGCATACTTAATATCCTTATTTCCTGCCATCAAGAGACCCCCTTTCCTTCCAAATGGCACTATGAACATGAACAATCACAAAAACATTTAGTTATCTCTTTCCCTCTGGATAACTGAAGAGTTCTGGTTAAATCAATCAGCTCAGCTTTTTGGGCTAAAGTCCCAGGTGGCAGTGCCAATATCATGACTTGTCACTATAAAAATATCTTTTATGTTACAGAGTAAAATTTTTATTACTCAATATATAGCCACAATAGATGAGAAAGAATCAATAAATAAAAGTGAAATTATACCAGAAGGATGGCAGTTCATTTTCATTAGCAATAAGACTTACCAACTTTCCCCAGAGGGAAAGAGATAACTAAATGTTTTTGTGATTGTTCATGTTCATAGTGCCATTTGGAAGGAAAGGGGGTCTCTTGATGGCAGGAAATAAGGATATTAAGTATGCCACCAAGATAATGGCCCTAATATAGGCTGTAGCTGAGCCCAGGTGGGTGGCCAGTATGACAAAAAGAAATCAGGTCACTGGCAGAGCTGCTAAGGAGGCTGCTGGAGGTGATCTCTTCCTCAGGGCCTTGATACCCCAGCTAGATTTAGACCCCATTAAAAACTAAACACTGGTGTTGTGACATTTGGGATAGCACAGCTAAATGGAGACAGAATTCTTACAGACTCGTCTCCTACCCAAAGCTTTGGTTCAGCCTCTGATGAGGCACCCACATGAATACACCCATTGGGAGCATGATGCCTTGATGGATTTGGTGAGACTTCATTTGAAGCGGCCCTGTTTGCAACTAACGGTTTATGTGCTTGGGGCAGTCCAAGGACAGAAAGCAATGCGCTACACAGGGAGCTCAACATGTGGGGGTCCACCCTTTTGATGATTGGCAGTTTCACTTAGATGCCTAGGCTTGCACTGGTAGATACTTTTTCAGGCTGGGTATAGGTTTGTCCTACCTGAACAGAGAGAACATCTGATGTTTTACCCAATACCCATTATATGCCTTAGTTATTTTCCATTGGCTGTGATGCATTTTTATTGACTCATCTACACTCTGACCAAGTCCCCGTTATGAGTAAACAACACACATTTTCAAAATGGCTGGCTATTAAGCTTGGAGCTGGTTTTCACTGTGCAAAGTTAACTGGCTCTTATAATGAATTTTTTAAAGTTATTACAGTATTTATTAATAATAATTCTCTTTTAGGACCTGCCGATGTACCTCTGATGTCACCAAGTGGTACTTTGCCACCAATATATCTTCCTCCTGGCTACATGTCTCAAGTATGTTTGTATGGTTTTTATTTGGTGTTTAGCTCTAAATTATCATTTAACATTTTTCATTATGTCACTATATGATAAGAGAACTTCTGGAATACTATTTATTAATTCACTTTACTGTTATCATCATTGCTAAAAAGCTATTGCTTTTAACCAAATCTTTAAAACCAATCCTTCCTGCCGGGCGTGGTGTCTCAAGCCTGTAATCCTAGCACTCTAGGAGGCCGACGCGGGCGGATTGCTCAAGGTCAGGAGTTCGAAACCAGCCTGAGCAAGACCCCATCTCTACTAAAATAAAAAGAAATTAATTGGCCAATTAAAAATATATATACAAAAAATTAGCCGGGCATGGTGGCACATGCCTGTAGTCCCAGCCACTCGGGAGACTGAGGCAGGAGGATCGCTTGAGCCCAGGAGTTGGAGGTTGCTGTGAGCTAGGCTGACGCCACGGCACTCACTCTAGCCTGGGCAACAAAGTGAGACTCTGTCTCAAAATAAATAAATAAATAAATAAAACCAATCCTTCCTTAGCTTGTTTTGTAAATGATGCCTAATTCATCTAATTAATTTACATCTATTAATATTCATTAATCCTCCATTTTGGGGGGTACATTTTTCTGGGTACTTTAACATATCTTAATTATCTATGAAAATTGCTGCAGTAATGGCCTTTGTAGTGTGTGCGCTTTAGTCCTTAAAATTACTTTATATTTTTAAGTTCAGTAGTATGTCATTGTTAGTATTTCATTCTCACTTACGAAATTCCTCAAATGTTTATCAAGCATCTAAAATGGAAGGAAGGTATGGCTTCTATAGAGATTAATAAGATATTCCATGGCCTAGACAATTTTATAATTGAGAATATGCCTATTTCTGCTTCTTCATAGTTTTTGTCTTAGTGGCTTCTTGGGTTATGTCTATTGCACAGCTATGCAGATGAAAAACATGCTAAATAAGTCAATATAATATGGTTTAATTCTAAATGGAATTATCTATTAGGCAATATCTAATGAAAATACAAATGCATATACCCTTTCTCCAGCAATTACACTTTAAGAAATTTATCCTACAGGTATATTTTCACAAGTTTTGAATAACAAATATACAAGATTGTTCATTACAATACTGCTGGTAATCACAAAAGGCTGGAAACAACCCACATACATAAAAAAGAAGGAAAATAAGAATCTACATTCTTATCTGTTTATATAGGCATTAAAAAATTCTGGAAGGATTCTGAAAACTAAAAACAGTAGTTATCTATCTGGGGGCATTAAGCAGATAAGGGTTAGATGAGAAATTTTTAATCATACACTTATTTATACTTTATGGTTTTGAACCATGTCAATATATCATCTATTGTCAAAAATTACCTCTTTAAAACCAATATACATGGGGAAAAGGAAGAATTATCTTGCCTTCTTGACATTATAGTTTCACTTGATTGCTGGGTTTTGATGCTTTAGGTTTCTAAATTAAGAACATATGATGCAAATCCAAAACTTAATAGAAAAAAAAGCTAATTTTTATGGATTCTAATATGTTTATATGATTCTGTCTTCCATCTTAGGTAGTAGAAGAAAACGGGATCCGCAAAATTATTATTTTGCCTCAGACAATTGACTATCACAGGTCCATGCCTGCCTCTATGCAACGAGCATCACACTTCGTAACACCATCCTCTCCTATGTATCCACAAGCTCCTCAACTGATGTATCCCCCAGCTCAAGGGGAATTTCCACCACCTTACACCCAAGAGTCTATGCCACAGCAACTGCCACCACCACCACCAGCAGCAACATTTACATATCAAGAGCATCATGGTAGTATACATTTTTCTTAAACAGGAAATAGTTTGATTTTGTTAAAATTAGCAGCTTTGGACAATTTTCAAATGAAAATAATGGAAGATAGTAACATTTCCATGAGTGACTGCATTTTGTACGTGTATATTAACCTTAGGTAATGGAAGAAACTTAAGATATAAATCTTTGGCAAAGTACTTATTAAACAGAATTTCCTATAAATATTTGTTTCACTTTGATATAACATGTGATTTATGATGCTTATTTTTACTTGATGGGGTCTATAAAATCAGATTGGAAAGTCATTTTTAAATGTTTTAATTATTAATGCCATATACCGGGAATATAAAAGACAGTGGAGGGTCAACATTAGAATCATCTCAAGACCTTAAAATTTGGAAGTGGAATTACTACCTAGGAAAACACTTTATTTGCTTATGTTTTTCTTTCTGTACATATCAATATGTTATAAACACACACATACCTAATGCCTTTATTAAAGTAAAAAAAATTTAAAGTAAAGCATGGCTTATCGATGCTCTTTTTGTTGATTAGATAAGAAAGACCTTGAGATATGTAATTATTATAATTATTAAATATTAATAGTATTCCATTGTCTCTTTTAGAAAACTATTCACATGGAAGAGCAAATTATAACCAACTCGATGAAAGACCTGTTAAAACGGGAGAGCATACGAAGAAAAAAACAAGAGAACGCCAAGTTGGTGGACACAAGAAGAGCTATATGGTTAACAACACCTCTTTGCCTGTGAACAAAACTAATGATAGTTCCAGTATTTCTGGTTCTCCAAACACTCACACCGTAAACTCTGCTCCAACACCCTACACTGACAATACTTCCCACATTTACACTGTGGACAATTCTCCAAGCACCTACACTGTTGACAATACTTTGAGTACCTATACTGTGGACAATACCTCGAACACTAACACTGTTGACAGTACTTTGAGTACCTGTACTGTGGACAATACCTCGAACACCTACACTGTTGACAATACTTTGAATACCTGTACTGTGGACGATACCTCAAACATTTACACTGTTGACAATACTTTGAGTACCTGTACTGTGGACGATACCTCGAACATTTACACTGTTGACGATACTTTGAGTACCTGCGCTGTGGACGATAACTCGAACATTTACACTGTTGACGATACTTTGAGTACCTGCACTGTGGACGATACCTCGAACATTTACACTGTTGACGATACTATGAGTACCTGTACTGTGGACGATACCTCGAACACTTACACTGTTGACAATACTTTGAGTACCTTTACTGTGGACAATACCTCGAACACTTACACTGTTGACAGTACTTTGAGTACCTATACTGTGGACAATACCTCGAACACTTATACTGTTGACAATACTTTGAGTACCTGTACTGTGGACAGTACCTTGAACACTAACACTGTTGACAGTACTTTGAGTACCTGTACTGTGGACAATGCCTCGAACACTTACACTGTTGACAATACTTTGAGTACCTGTACTGTGGACGATACCTCGAACATTTACACTGTTGACAATACTTTGAGTACCTGTACTGTGGACGATAACTCGAACATTTACACTGTTGACAATACTTTGAGTACCTTTACTGTGGACAATGCCTCAAACTCTTACACTGTTGACAATACTTTGAGTACCTTTACTGTGGACAATGCCTCAAACTCTTACACTGTTGACAATACTTTGAGCACCTTTACTGTGGACAATGCCTCAAACTCTTACACTGTTGACAATACTTTGAGTACCTGTACTATGGACAATACCTCGAACACTAACACTGTAGACAATACTTTGAGTACCTATGCTGTGGACAATACCTCGAACACTAACACTGTGGACAGTACTTCAAGTACCTGCACTGTGAACAATGTAAACACTTACACTGACAATACTCCCAGTACTGATACCACTGACAAACCTGCAAACACTAACATCACTGACAAAACTCCCAGAAATTCTTCCACTGACCATGCCCCTAGCACTTCCATCTCAGACTCTACTCTGTGCCCTGCCACCACTGATATTATTCTGGGCCCTTCCAACACTAATTATGCTCCCCAAACTACCATCTCTGACAGAACTCCCAGTCAATCAATGACTGACAGTACACACAGGCAATCAACAATTGACAGTACTCCCATACCATCAACTATTGACAGTACTCTCATACCATCAGCTATTGCCAGTACTTCAAGCTCTTCTATTTTTGATAGTGCTCCTAACACTTCCATCTCTGAAAATGCTCCCAGCACTTCTGCTATTGATAATGCTCTCAGTACTTCCATTTCCAACACTGCCAGTACTCAGGTTGAGACTAGTCATGGAAAGAAACAGAAAGCTACAAGAGGCGAAAACATCAAGCAGAAACCAGGTGGAAAACGAAATAAGAGCCCATCACCAAATGTGGTGGAAAAAGGTAAGATCAGGAGTTTGGTTTTGTTGCCAGTGAATAAATATCCTAAATGTTTAGGAATTCAGTGCAGTTTTAATATTTTAGGCACTATTTTCTACTTTCATTTCCTCTTGTCTTCTTTGTACCCCTACCTCTAAATTCTTTTTTAAATGTATTATTAATATTATTTTTGATTAACAAAACAAAATTGTATACATTTATGGGGTACACTGGGGTGCTTTAATACATGTATACAATGTGTAATGATTAAATCAAGATAATTAACATATCCATCACCTCACCTATCATATTTTATGGTAAGACATTTGAAATTTACACTCTTAGTTATTTTGAAATATACAGCACATTAAGACTGTAGTTACCCTCTGGTGCAACAGATCTCAAAACCTATTCCTCCTGTCTATCTGAAACTTTGTCCCCTTTGATCAACTCTCCATTCCTTCCCTCTCCACCTCCCCAGCCTCTGATAACCATCATTCTACTCTCTACTTCTATGAGTTCAACTTTATTAAATTCCACATATAACTGAGATCATGTGGTATTTGTCTTTCTGCTCCTGGCTTATTTCACTTAGCATAATGTCCTTCAGATTCATCCATAATGTTGCAAAAGATAAGTTTTCCCTCCTTTTTAAGGTTGAATAGTATAAAAACCACAAACTACCTTTTAAAATCATGAAGAAATGACTCCTCGTGTAAAATGTACATGCCACATAATTTTTTCTAGTTGTCTGCCAGTGAAACATTGCAAATTACTCTATGATCCTAACCAGTTCATATGATATTATTTAAATTGGGGATTTGCTAGAATTTATTTAATATTATACACTTTAGACTACTCTCTTCTTTTAAATCTTTTAAGCAAATAGCTATTAGGTGTTTAGTAGGTCTCTTGGTGATAATACATTTGCAGTTGGACAATATAAATCTAACTTCTTTCTCTTGGTTTTATTAATGTAATATTTTGTTTGGGGGTGCTTTTTTTACTTTTAGAACGCAAAACAGAACATGGAAAGTCATACTGTTTCAGCACTGAGAAACCTGTGGTAAGTAAAGTGAATATTTAAGTATTCCTTTGAATTTACTTTGTCAATCTTAAAACATGCAAATTCACTGGTATTTTCCTCTAGTACAGTTTTAGTTTGAAGCCTTTACCTAGTTAAAACTTTATAATCTCCTTTAGCAATTCAATAAATAAAGATTCAGTTTGATATTGTCAAAGATAGGATTAATGGTTCATTGTTTAATCACAGTATTCAAGCACCTAATATGAGAACAATATACTTAGCATTAAATAAGACTTAGATGAAGACCATATCATAACTTATACATTATAGTTTTTTAAGAATGATACTTGAATTTTTGTTATTTCAGGTTTCTGATATTCAAACAAGATCTGCTGTTATTTCATGGAATCTGCGTGATTCTGAGAAATGTGATCATACTAAATCTCCTATAACATTTGAATTGGCCATATCTAACAGTGGTAAAAATGGAAAATATAAAAATGTGTATATGTAAGTCTTTTTCTTTTTAATAATTTCTTATTTCTCATAATTCAATTCAAATATTCTCTCTAAACATACAGACCCCAATTTATACCTAGGTTGAGTTCTAAAGGTTTTTCTGCAATTTTTTCCAAACTTGAAATGCATTTTTCTACAGAAATAGTTTTCTAAATGGTGGTAGGTTGCCAGTCCAGTCCAAAAAATTCATTGGATCACAAGTATATTAGAGTTAAGAGAGATCTTAAATATCAGCTGGTCCATTCATTCACTTCAGTTTACAGACTTCCTATTAGTCAAGTTTACACTCAGGTAAGAAAAGATCCTTTCCAATTCCCCTGCTCATTTTTCACTTAGGTCATTTTAGGGAAAAATAAAGTTTCACATAATTGTAGGCCTTTGGGTACACAAGCAAGGTATTTACATTGCAATGGGAATTTAAGACTTGGGCTCTCCTAGGAATTTCATTATAGGAGCTAAGTATAAGGTGAAAACTGTGATAGTAGGAGGATGAGCTTAGAAATGTGCTCAAAAGATAGAACCCAGGATTGGGGAATACAGTGGAGATCACAGCAGAAGCACCACTCCCAACAACTTCTGGACTGGATAGGCATGTATAATCTGAAAGACAGCGAGCTGAGAGAAGCACAGTGGGAAGGAAATCCCAAGTGAGAAAGAAAGAGAAATGTCTATGCCCACCAACAACTAGGCAATAAGTCAGACAGAGATAGTGGAGTTGTCCGAGTCATACTTTAAAAAACATAACACATCTTAACCTTTATTTTGCTAGAATTTTTCATCTTTATTCAGAGACTCAAAGTAAAGATCTTAATGCAATTAGCTATATATCATGTAAAGTTTTATTTCTTTTATAATTAGCAGCTAAAAATTTTAAATTTAAGAATTACAATATACATCTTCTATATTGGGTAGGGGAATAGGAAGATGTAAAATGTGATGAAAAGCTATTTATAAAATTAACTTTTGCTGGGTGCAGTGGCTTATGCCTATAATCCTAGTGACTCAGGTGGCTGAGGCAGGATTTCTTGAGGCCAGGAGTTCAAGACCAGCCTGGGCAACATAGCAAGACTCCATCTCTAATAAATAAAATAAATAAGTAAAAATAAAATAGCTTTTGCATGAATTTACATGGCGGTCTTTTTCTGGCATTATGCACTTTACAAAAATCATTATTATATTTATAAAAATATTCTTGCCTATATCTCTGATCACCCTGAGTGGCCTTTGCTCAGAAGTATCAGCCTTCACTTAGAAGTATCAATCTTTTAGCTTTTTGTGGAAGATATTTTAAGGTCTAGAGCCTGAAGGATTTCTTCAGGTGGTAGGGTACACCTAGGTACTTGTGACTATTTGCTCAGGAAGACATTGGGAGCACAGTCACTCTAGTGATCGTAGCAGATAAGTGTCTACCCCAGAAAAATTGCTCTGTGTGATGGAATGAATACATTTCATGTTGCATAGTGTCTTTGAAGCTTTTCATATCTACACTATTTAAAATAAGCTAATTAAAGGCAAATCTGCACTATTACATATGAAAACTATGTAGTGGTAAAATGGTAAAATTTCATTTCTTAAAGCTATATTAATTTGGCATGCAAATTAAGCATGCCAAAGTTTGAAAGCATTTTGAATTATTAAATCACTATTTTGCATGAATATAAAATGAGTTTAATGTTATCCGGACTGCAAGGAGAACTGTACTTCTATTTTTGTCAGTTGAATGTATAAAGTTAGAACTGATTACTTAGCTTTTAAATATGTGCAAGATCCATTATAAACAAAGCTTATCTTCACAGTGGCGATGGAGTTACATTTACCCTACTTGATCTACAGCCATCCACGGCCTATTTTTTAAGGTAAGAACTCCATCCTACACAACCTACCCATACTCTGTATCCAGCTAGACTCCTCAGTCTGTATCAGTTCACTACTTATAATTCCTGTAGTCAGCCTTGTCATTTGCCAGCAACGTGGCCTTTGCTTCAAGCTTCAAAACAACCCCTCCAAATGCAGCATTAATTCACTTTCATTTAGAACAAGTGAGAGGGTACTTTGGGAATCATTATAGAGCAGCTATTCAACCTTGCTCTATTGGTATATTTTTTATAATTAGCTCCTAGGAAATGTGTCTGAAATCTCAAGTTTGCAATTCAGTACATATGTTAAGATAAATATTTAAAAGCTTACAATAATTGTCGTTACATTTTTAGAGTCACAACTATAAGAGGCTCAGAACACAGAACTGTGTCTGAAGTGGTCAGCTTCACAACCCCAGGTTGCGAACCGGACCCTCCACTTGCACCCAAACTGATTAACCGATCCAAGAGCAGCCTGAATTTACAGTGGAAAGTAAGGATTTTACTGCCAAAACCACCTCAACATGTTTTCATTGTTTAAAAACACTCTTTCTACTGTATCCTGAAAATTATGCATGCCTCATCTAACCTATTTCCTTAGCACTTTTTCTTCTCTATAATAATCTAATAATCTTTTTGTTCTTTCTACTGATACCAAGCATCTAGTAAACTGAAAAATGTCAATAAGAACTTCAATAATTAATAAGAGTTGAAGTATCAATTTCTAGAACCTAAATTTAGTTATTTATAATCGTATTTGTCAATAAATCTACCTCTCAATTAAATCCTAATTTTTTCATTGTATACAATTTGGAAAACACAACAAAACAGAATTCAGGCATGTCTTTTAGAGAGTAAAAAGTGCATTTTGACTTTAAAATCTGGATTGGATCAAAACCAAAATACAAACAGATTGATTTTACAGTAATTTACCACTTTAAATGTATATACATATATACATATGCATGAATTATACATATATTCGTATTCTATGTAAAAACAGCCTATCATAATTTTATTTTTCTGATACTTTTAGGGTTCCAATGATAATGGTTCCAAAATAAGCAGCTTCCTTTTGGAATGGGACGAGGTATGCAGTTTTATTTTTTAAAAGCACTTGTTTCTGGATGATTATTAATGTTATGATGAATTTTTGCTGTTAATTATAGCATTTTATGATATTCTAATATTTTATGTCTGTTATTAAGGGCAAAGGCGAAGATTTCAAAAGTTGCTATACGGGTACCATGAAACAGCACAAGATCCTTAAACTGAGTGCTTCTACAAAATACTCATTCAGATTAGCTGCCAAAAATAACTTTGGCTTGAGGTACATTGAATTATTTGAAGTATTTAAAAGTCTATACTTCAATAAGAAACTGAAGCTAATATTTTCATCTTATTTTTCAGTGATTATAGTGAAATAGCAGTCTTCCATACATCAGGAACTATTCCGCCTACACCTTCACCTCCTAAGCTAAAAGAAGCAGGAATCTGTAATTTGTCACTAGAATGGTGTGCCCCAGCTAACGCAAACACAAATACTCTTACTTATGTACTGGAAATGGAGGAAGCAGGATCTGTAAGTTTCCTTTTCATATGCTTTAATCTTCTACCTCAGTTTTAGGTATATTTTTTATGGAATTCATACTTAAAAACATTTTAAATTTGATTACTTTCTACTCAGTCAATTCAATCAGGAATTGCATGATTCCTGATCCTCTGTTTTCTAGATGGGACCAATTCAGAGCCAGGGTTAGGCAAGCCTACACAGGGAGATCTAAAGATGCGTAAGCTCCTGAAAATTAGCTAGCAGCATCAGCCATAATTACAGCAGAGAGACTCAGAGAAGTATGTTAGTTCTTCAACTTTGGGTCTGTATCAGACAACCTTGGGTGGTCACACAGATCTTCAGCACCCCAACATACTTCTACCCTTTCCTCATCTCCCCAGATTCCTGATGAGAGTGGACATCTATTTCATTCCATTCTAAACGTTCAACTCTATACTGAATAGGCTAATCAATTTATAAAGCAGCTGTAAATTTTATGTATATTTTACCACAATTTAAATAAAGCAGCTCACAATGAGAAGTGTTCTTTGTTGCAAGGAATATGCTAAATGATTTCCTAAGAAAAATGAGCCCTTCAAAGTAGAAATTATCTTTATTTTTATGTAGAGAAATTAAAGTTCAGAAAGACTAAGAGACTTACTCAGAATCATCCACATAAAAAATAAGTTGAAAGAATTTGAACCCAGGCCTGCCTGATTCCTAAGTTCACTATCTTTCATTTCCAGGGGTTAGGTTTTAAACCTAAATATAATGGAGAAGATCTCTCATGCATTGTAAGAAATCTTCAAAGAAGTACTACATACAAGTTTAGGGTATGTCACTATAATTTATAAATTTTAGTGATATCTTAATATAAAATTATACTCTTCACTAGAGGAAAATGAATGTCTTTTTCATTTAAAATTAAATTTTATTTTGCATTTAGTTCACTCAAATAACTTGCTTTATATTTACAAACTATGAACATTTTCAAATCAGACTTATTTCTAATGGTCAACCAAGGTATTCTCTTTTACTCAAACAGATCTTTGCCTACAATATGGAAGGAAGAAGCAACCCCAGTGGAGAAGTAAAATATACCACCTGTCCAGATAAGCCTGGATCGCCTAGAAAACCATATATAAAGGGAAAGATCCATGCGCATAGAGTAAAAATTGGATGGGGTATGTAATATTGTTGTATTTAAAATGATTTATATCTGTCTTAATATTAACTATAGTGAAGAAATCTTCCTCCCTCAGCTTTATAAAATATTCTCTTAATCAATTGTATATGAAATATTCTGTCATATAAATTTAATATATAAATTATGTCATATAAATATAAATCTAGCTGCAAACCATGTACTTTTTCTAGTTCTCTATTGAGTTATCTATTGCTATCTTATTAATTCACACATGAACAAATTATTGAACTTTATATGGGTCCTTAAATATTATGGTTATTCCAAGTAAGATTACATCTAATTAGAGGTCATAGTTAGAAGGCCACATCAATAATAAATGTCAACTTAACAAGAAATTATATATATATATATACACACACACATATATACACAAATTGTTCTATCTCTGAACTAGAGAAATCAACTTTATAGCACATATACCTAGCTTTTCAGTGTCTTCCAAATAACTTAAAATATTATTTAAATGCTTTATAATTTAGATTATGTTTTATGATCTTTATTAATATCTGGATATTAATAAAATATTTTTATGTTTTGTATTTTTCCCTCTGTGAAAATTATTTGTTAATTTATGAAATAACTTTCCATTGAAAGATTTTTAAGTTTATTCAAGAATAATTATAATTTTATTTTTTTCTTTTCAGATCCGCCCAAAGATAATGGTGGAACATACATTTCAAGTTACAGTTTAGAAGTTAGTGAAAATTCAGATGGTAAGGCATCATTTTTTTTAAAAGATTTTATTTTGAAATAGTTTTAGACCCACCTAGAAGTTGCAAAAATCATATAGAGAATTCTCATATAAACCCTTCACTCAGCTTCTCCTAATATTAATATCTTATATAACCATAGGGCAATTATCAAACCAGGAAATTGGCATTGGTACAATACTATTAACTAAACCCCAGAATTTGGACATCTCCAGTTTTTAGTAACAAACCATGTTTATTTACTGATATATTATGATTTTATGGTTAATTCTACTGGGAATAAATTATTTAACTATTGGTAAATAGATCATTGGACCAAGTTAATTTCCAAAATGGTTTTCTCTTAGTATATACATGAGAAAGCATAGGAACCCGTAAATTTATAAGCTACCTATAAACAAATTGGATAAATTTGCTTATATCCCTTCAGTGAATCTCTGGAACATAATCTACAGTGGCGACGCAAGGGAATTTCTATATGATCACCTGCAACCTGGTACCGAATATAAACTAAGAGTCTTTTGTACTTCACCGATAGGCCAAAGCCAGGTGAGAAAAGGTAGAGGGAAAGTTTTTAAATGGAGGACTGAAATGAACTGTATCATATTACTAAATGTTTTGCAACACAGAACTTGAATTCACTTTAGTCATAAGGTGTTTTGTATTTTTCTTAGCCTTCAGATATATTGACTATACAAACACCTACTATTTCTCCAGAATCTTGCCATCCTCCACTCATGAAAGGTAAAACAAAGTCCACAGAAACAAACTTCCAATGCGGTGAGGCTTCTTTATGTGATTTGAATGACCAAACCTAAATTTCCTCTTTTGTAACTTTTGATTTTTTATATATTAAATGTTGTGAAAGCAAAGAAAATGATTTTTAGTACAAAATCAAATATTGCTTAAGCAAATTCTTAGTAATTGACATTTTAATGCAAATTAAAAAGTTAATTGACACAAGTTAATATATTTTGAGTATTGTTACTTTAACTGTTTCAACATAGAGTCTTTTTAATTTATTTTGTATCATATTAAAGAAACACCCTTAAAACTATTTACAAAAAAAATTAAGTTTATTTTGTATATTTTTCTAGGCAACTCTCTTGCTAATGGAAACTCTGAAGCACCTGTGTATGTCAAAAAGGCAAAAGGTAACGAAGATAACACACAAGGGCACTCAAGCTCTGAAGTGAAATGCACAGTGAGTAAATTAATTCCTGAAGAATCCACAATTTCTGGTTAAAAGCAGCAAATATGACTGGGGAAGTTATATTGTTCAGTTTGCCCATTTGTATTTCATTTCACTTTGGTTGAATATATGCTCCTACTTGTCAAGGTGGGGAATGACCATGCCCACACAATCATTTGTGTGTTTGCTTATTTGTTTGTTTGTTTGTTTGTAGTTGAGATCTCATTCAATGAAGTGTGAAACTGCACCGGTTCCAGGCCCTCCTTCTCAATGTGGTACACCTGTGCTAACCTGCAAGGGTCCGACCTGCGTTATTGTTACTTGGGGAGTACGTTATCAATTTATTTTTATTAATTTTGGTGATATAAAAACATAGTAATTAGCTTAGAAATTTTTGGGTAAATCTAGAACTCTCTAAGGAGTCAGAGTTTAGAATTAGGATTCCATAAATCTTGGATCATAGTTTCTACAACACACCTAGGACTTGATACTAATGGTATTAGGAAGTCGACAGCAATGATTATCCTGCTCTGAAGACCCTATATTTGAAGATAATAAATCTGGAAAACCAAATAGACTATCAATCGGTAACTAACTGAATTTTTAAAACCAAAACAAGAGATAATAAAGTTAAATCAGTTTATAGAATGTAGTACTTTTTAAAAAAACTTCATTGGGAAATCTCTGGTCATGTTTATTTGCATGTAACTCTCTAGTATGACATGTAAGAAATATGTCTAAAGTAATTAAGCTTTAAAAAAAGAACAAACACTTTTCACATCCATATGAATATCTTACCATTCAAACTAATCAAGCTTAAAAAATAAGAACTGTCCTAATTATTTAGCCATGTAAGTATCTATGAATTGTTCTTCCTTTTTTCCCCAACTCTAGCAGTTAAACAAAAGCCTTAGTCTGTTAATCATAAATGACAGGTCTGATTATATCACAGTATAAAGGCCAGAGAGTACTAGGGTTTGTTTTTGATCCCACTAACTAATGGTAATTTGAAACAACATTAGAATATCTTAAGTTTGCCCCGTTTTTTCAGAGTTCTCATGCCCTAACGTTTGCTCTTTTATTCAGTAACCCATTTGAAAATAATTTTAATAAATTTCAAAAAGGCATTTATCTAATATGTGGAATTAGCCAATACTTTTTCTTAATTTTATTTGAGGCTTTTAATGTTAATTATAGTGTTCTGCCTTATGTTTAATTATTTCTACACTTGTATCTCATATCATTTAATAAATTATAAGCTTTGTCATTGAAAGGATTGTGTTGTAACTCACACAGTATCTAGTATAATAACCACTTAGAAAAAGAACTCAATTTCTATGTTTATTGCATCTTTCAGACTCCTGTATGCAATGGTGCTGAAATCACTGATTACAGACTAGAATGGGGACAAATCGAAGAATCAATGCACTTGATTTACACTGGCCCTTGCCTGAATTATGAAGTTAAAGGTCTCATTCCTGCAACTACATACTTTTGCAGAGTTCAGGTAAACCTGACATTTCGTCCAATGTAAGCAAGACAACAGCTATTAACCTAAGCTATCCACATTGATAATACTGGCAGCATTTCCAGTGTAGAGATCAGAAGAGAGTCACAGACTTTCAAATCTTAAATATTGCTCATATTCAGTGACAACATTCTGACCTCCTTCACCTTGCATTTAGAACCTCACATAACCTGGCAGCTACTTTTCTATTCCAACTATTGATAGATCAGCCATTATTTTCTCTGCAATTCTGTATTTCCCAAATTTCCCTGATCTTAGGAATGAATCATCTGAAATGCTTGTTAAAAACATTGATTTCTACACCCCCATTCAGACCTACTGGATCAAAATTTCTAATTAACTTGTAATTAGAAGTTTGCCAATCTGTATATTTAATAAGCACCCAAAGTGATAATTATCATCAATTAGAAAAAATCACATAAACTCTAGTCCAAACAAACAAGTCTACCCCACCACCACCAAATATGCCTTGTAGTTTTGTTCATTCTATGCTCTCTGCCTATCTTGTCTCTTAAAACCCAGCTCTTGCATAAATGTTTCCCTGATAACCATAACTGGAAATGATCTCTTCCTCTACTGAATTATTAGAATTGTAAGACTCATAACTTGAGCCCTAATACCAGGGATCTAAGCCCCAAATGGCCCCCAGATTGCCTTTCAATTTTTTTTTTTTTTTGAGACAGAGTCTCGCTTTGTTGCCCAGGCTAGAGTGAGTGCCATGGCGTTAGCCTAGCTCACAGCAACCTCAAACTCCTGGGCTCAAGCAATCCTTCTGCCTCAGCCTCCCAAGTGGCTGGGACTACAGGCATGCACCACCATGCCCGGCTAATTTTTTCTATAGATATTAATTGGCCAATTAGTTTCTTTCTGTTTATAGTAGAGATGGGGGTCTCGCTCTTGTTCAGGCTGGTTTCAAACTCCTGACCTCAAGCAATCCTCCCATGTCGGCCTCCCAGAGTGCTAGGATTACAGGCGTGAGCCACCGCGCCCAGCCAGATTACCTTTCATGATTGAAAGGGTTTTTTTTTTTAACCCTTTGTCAGATTTCGGGGGATATCCCTATTTTTTGTATTGGAAAAATGTTCTCATAATATATATATTTACTAGTTAGGAGGCCATTGCAATAGTCCAAAGGATAGATGATGAAGTTATGAACATTAAGGCTATTGCAATAGGAATACTGAGACATTAATGGATTTAAAAGATATTAGGGAGATAAAAATCAAGGGAATATGTTCCAGCCAAGATGGAGTAGCATCTTTCCTCCCAGATCCTCCCTCTTAAAACTAAAAATCCTTGAACATAACACAACAAACAAGCATAAGACAACTCTGAAAGGTAGATAAAAGGTAGCAGACGGCCTAGGGAACTGACAACTTGAAGGACAACATAGTGATGAGCCCCCGGGGTTTCCTAATTACCTCCCATAGATTCTAGGAAGGGTGCTAAAGAAGCTTCCAATTCAAAACTGCCAACGGGGATGGACAGAAAGAACAAAACACCAAGTAAAGCTTGTTACCCCAGCAAAATGATGAGGAAGAGGGTAGCGTAACAACAGAAAATCTTTTTGACAATACTCACCTTACTCCCGCCAAACATTAATGGAAAAACCATAAACATCCCTGCTCTTCCCCAACAACTGAGGTTTCAACAGGCCGAGCAGAAAGCTGAACAACCATCCAACCCACCCCAGAAGCAAGCAACACACTCTAATTTCCCCACCCAGTGGTTTTGGCCAGGCCTAACAGAGAGTTAACCTTCCATCCACTGCCTGGCAAAAGCAGGTGGTGTTCTATTCCCATTCCCCTGCTGACTAGTGACAGTGTGGCCAAGCAGGGACCTAATGATCTTCTATACCTCTGTACTTCTATACCTGATAGAAGCAAGCTGCAACATTCTATTAATAATTTCTCTGTGGAGGTGGTGTTTATTAGCAAGCTCAGCCTCCACTCCCACACAATAGCAACAGACTGAACAAAATGGTATCCTAGCCCGCACTTCACTTTCCTCCTACGCCTGTGTCAGTGAGGTCTAATAAGGAACAGACCTCCATATCCACTTAGTAGCACTGAGATTGATAAGAGGCTACAGGAAACAATTCTAGTCAGTACTGAGGCTCCCTACCAACTCTCTGCCACCTGGTGTCAGCAGGGTTCAATGGCAATCTCAGCTTCCACCTCTACTCAGCATCAACAAGGCAGATCCAGGTAGTGAGAAGCTATGCTATTTGGCACCCAAACTTTCCTCATTCCCCTCTCCTGGTGTCTTCAAGACCCAGCTAGGAGCTGTGGTTCCACCCCACCCTGCAGGAACAAAGAGGTATAAGTCAGTCTTCTATTCCCCCCTCTGTGGTATCAGCAGGGCCCAGTGGGGAGCTGAGTTTACACTCCCACTCAGAGGCAATGATTCAGTGCAAATCATTGCCCCACTTTTTCTGAGAAGGTGTCAGCAGAGCCTAGACAGGAGCTGAACTTCCACCCCATTCAACCCTTGTGCTATATCTCTATAGAAATACTGCCTATCTAAGGATACCTAATCACATGGCTGAAAAAAAAAGATACGATTAAAATATTTTTTAATTTAAAAAAATACTGCCTACTAAAAATCAATTAAATATGACCCAGAATTTCACAATATAACATTCAAAATGCCCAGAATAAATAAGAAGTCATTCGTCATATCAAGAGCCAGTAAAATCACAGGTTGAATGACAAAAAATCAATAGACTCTGAAATGAATCAGAGGTTTGAATTATCTGACAAGGATTTTAAGTAGCTATCATAAAAATGCTCCAACAAGCAACTATTAGTTATCTTGAAACCAATTTAAAAAATAAAAAAATCAGCAAATAAACAAGTTATAGAAAAAACCCAATTGTAGGTTATAGAACAGAAATATACAACCACTAAAATAAAAACCTTTCTGGAAAGGCTCATTATTAGAATGGAGATGACCGAAGATTAGAATCAGTGAACATGAGGACAAATTAATAGAATTTACACAATCTGAACACCAGAGAGGATTTAGAAAGAAAAATATGAACAGGGTCTCAGGCACAAATGAAACTATAACAAAGGTAATATTCATATCATTAAAGGCACAGAAAGAGAGAAGAGAAAAAGTGGGACTGAAAAAGTATATTATGAAATAGTGAAAACTTTCCAGTTGAGGGGAAAAATGACCAAGAAATTAAAGAAGTTAAGTAAACCTGAAATATAATATACCCTAATAAATCCATGCTAACAAGACCCATTGTAATTAAACTTCTGAAAACAAAAGTCAAAGAAAAAAATCTTGAAAGCACCCAGAGAGAAACGGTGCATTACTTACAGAAGAACATCAATTCAAATGATAGTAGATATCTCATCTGGATATCTCTCCTTCTTTCTGGAGACCAGAAAGAAGTGTGTACATTTTTTGAGTACTGAAAGAAACTTCTATATCCAGCAAAAATATCCTTCAGAAGTGAAGAGGAAATAAAGACATTCTCTGATTAAAGAAAACTAAGAGAATTTGTTGCTAGCAAATCTAATTTTTAAAAATAGCTAAAGAAAAATCTCTAACCAAAAAGTAAATGATACCAGAAAAAGATTCAGAACTTTAGAAAAGAAATAGGTGGAAAGGGTAAAGATAGGGATAAATATAATTGACTATCTTCTTGATAGTAATAGATAAATAGATAGATAAATATAATTGACTATCTTCTTGACTATCTTCTTGATCTTGACTACTTCTTCTTAAAAGGTTCTAAGAATATATTTGATGTTTAAAGGAAAAATTAGAACCCATCTGATGTGGTGCTCAGTACATAGAGAGAAAATACTTAAGATATTTTAAATATTTAAATATTTTGTGTAATTTTAATATTAAAATTTAAATATTTAAAATTTAAACAAATATTTTATTTGAAATGGGGGAAAGTAAAGATACCTAAATTGAGGTTTCTAGACTTCACTCAAAGTGGTAAAATATTAATACCAATAGACTGTAATAAGTTACACATGTATATTTTAATACCTATGGCAACCACTAAGAAAACTATGCTAAGCAAAATGCTCAGAAACATTATAAATAAATTAAATCAAATTGGAATCCTGAAAAGTGTTCAAGTATCCCACAGGAAGGTAAGAAAAGTGAAACAGAAGAATGAGAAACAGAAGAAACAAATAGAAAAAAATACAGCAAAAAAATGAAAGGGCAGGCAATCTTAAGCCGTAGCATATCAATAATTACCTTAAATGTAAATGGCCTCATATGTCAAGTAAATGACAGTGATAGAAAAATACATTTTAAAACATTATAAAACAGTATTCTGTCTACAAAAACTTATCTCAAATACAATAACATAGGAAAGTTGGAAGTGTAACAATGAAAGAGATATACTATGCAATCAGTAATAAAACAAAAAAAAGCCTAAGAGGCTACATAAATGTTAGATAATGTAGACTTCAAAAGAAAGAAATTGCTAGAGACAAAGAGGTATATAATGATAAAAAGAACAACCCACCCTCATAAAGCAATAGAGCCTCCAAATACATGAAGCATAAACTAATAGGGCAGAAAGGAGAAATAGACAAATCTACAGGTATAGTCAGGAACCTCAAACCCCCCTCCACCAGCAACTGGTAAAACTAGTTACTAAACAGAAAATGATCAAGGATATGGAAGAATTGAACAACACAGAAAATGGGCAAAAGACACAAACTATTCACTAAAGAGGATAAACAGATGGCAAATGAACACATGAGAAAATATTCAAAGTCATAAGCTATTAGGGAAATGCACAGTGAGATGCCATGACCTACCTATCAGAATATCTAAAATAAGAAATAGTGATAACATCAAATACTGACAATGATATGGAAATTGGATCACTCATACATTTCTGGTGAGAATTATAGCTACTCTGGAAAGAGTGACAGTTTCTTACAAAATTAAACGTGCACTTATTATATACCGACAATTCTTGGGCATTTATCCCAGGGAAATGAGAATTTATGTCCACACAATAAAACTGTACATAAATGTTCATAGCACCTTTATTTGTAAGAACCAAAAACTAGGAATAGTTGAGATGTTCTTCAATAGGTAAATGGTTAAACAAACTGTGATATATCCATACCGTGGCATAGTACTTAGCAATAAAAAAGAACTGCATATACACCATAATTTTGATGGATCTCAAGGGAATTATACTGACTGAAAAAAAAGCCTATATGAAAAGTTTACATACTGCATTTTTCCATTTATATAACATGCTTGAAATGACAAAATTATAATGATGGAAAACAAATTAGTGGTTACCAGGAGTTTAGGAATAAGGAGAGGGAAGGAGGTTATTGTGTGTATAAAAGGGTAACACAAGGATTCTTTTGTATCTTAAGTATGGTAGTGATCATAATGAAGCAGCACATGTGATAAAATTGCATCAAACTAAATACAGACACATACAAGTGCATGCAAAACTGATGAAATCTGAATAATGTCAATGGATTTTATCATCAATATCAAGGTTATAATATTATATATAGTTATACAAAATATTAACTTTGGAGAAAAGAGGATAAAGCGCACATGTGAATCTATAATGATCTCAAAATAAGACATATTTATAAAGTCAATGAAACTTGGTGAATGGATGTGAACTTCTGGCTACCACCAACAGGGATAGAAACTATAAGATGAAGGAAAGGAAAAAAAGTGGTGGGGTAATTGATGAATTTGGTTTGGACATATTTTTCCTGAAGTGTTCACATTGGCATTCTTCACTTACCTTCCCATAGTTACACTCACCACCTTCCAAAATATGGTACCTAAAAATTTCAGCAACTTAGAACCATATTGTTAAGAGTGTGAGTTTATGAAAACTTTTGTTATGCAAAAAATGCTTTATGCACAAAAACAAAGGAATAATGAACCTCTAACAAATTATACATTTTCAGGCTGTAAATACGGTTGGGGTTGGAATGTTTGGAGGAACTGGCATAGTAACCACACCGGCAACCATACCAGCAGTAGTGCCGATGTTACATGAAGTTGAAAACAAAGTGCCTGCCAAATCGGCATCATCTTGCATTGCTATTCAATGGGAAGAACCAGACTCCCATGGCTCTCCAATCACTGGATATAACATTGAATATGGTGACAGAAAAATTTTGACTGTTAATAGAGTAACAGAGTGTCTTCTGAAAAATCTACAGCCTGACACTACATACAAGTAAGTCACATATATCTTATGTTAGATAAATGGAAAGCTTTTTGAGAATTTTGAGCAAATCTACATTTGTATATTTTAGTCTACATAAGACTTATTTTGAAAGATCTTTCTCAGCAATAATCGTCCATAGTGATTATGCAAATTCAAGATTTTTGTTTTGAAAATTTGTCTCTAATAATTAGTATATGTTGGTCAATAGCCTACATAATTACTAGGGGGTTAGGTTATATGTAGAAAGTAATTCTCTTTTCTAAATATAAATTAATATATTTTAACTTTTTCTTCTTACCACTAGAATCAGAATTCAAGCTATCAATCATTATGGACTAAGCCCCTTTAGCCAATCAATAAGAGCTAAAACCAAGCCACTGCCACCTGAGCCCCCACATCTTGATTGTGTGGTCTATGGACACCAGAGCCTCAAACTCAAATGGGGTAACTCTTCAAACAAAAGTTTGCTTACCAACGTTATAAGCTACAACTTGTTAATGGGAGATCGGTCTGGCAGGTAACCTATTTTTATTAGTTAATATATGTTGTAATAAAAGAGGTTTACAATGTCATGTCTTTTTTATTTTAATAGATATAGGTGGTACAAGTGGTTTTTTGTTACATGGATGAATTGTATAGTGGTGAAGTCTGGGCTTTTAGTGTACCCATTACTTGTATAGTGTGCACAGTACCCACTAGGTAATTTTTCATCCCTTACCCCTTTCGAGTCTCTAGGGTCCATCATTCCACTCTGTATGACCATGTAGAACCATAGCTTAGCTCCCACTTATAAGTGAGAACATGTGGTATTTGATTTACCATTCCTGAGTTAATTTACTTAGGATAATGGCCTCCAAGTTCTATCCAAGTTGCTGCAAAAGACATGATTTCATTCTTTTTTATGTCTGAATTAGATTCCATATCTTCATCCTATAATGCAAAGTAGTTTCAATGAACTAATAGATATAAAAGCATCCCATTACCATCTTAGATTTAATTTCTTAAATTCTTGCTCATAACTTAGTTCTTTTTGCCTCTTCCAAAACACTTCTTCCCTTTATATAACACACATTAAGTACCAAGGAATAGAAGTTACCCAAAAAAATATGACAGCCAGCACCTTGCCACTATGATACTTACAACCTGATTTTTTTTCTTTTGTTGTTTTACCTATATGGCTTTTTTAATTTCAGAATATTATGGGGATACAAACATTTTAGTTACATATAATGCCTTTGCCTTGCTCATGCCAGGGGCCCTTCCCCCCATACAGTGCACTCCGCATCCATTTGTTGTGAGTTTACCCACCTCCACCACCCCTCTCCCACCTGACCAGCACCCATTACCACCATGTGAGCACCTTAGTGTTGATCAGTTAGTACCAATTTGATAGTGAGTACACGTGGTGCTTATTCTATCATTCTTGTGATACCTCACTTCAAAGGATGGGCTCAGGCTTTATCCAGGATGATATGAGGTGTTAGTTCACCACTGGTTTTTTTTGTAGTTTAGTAGTTTTCCATGGTACACATACACCACATTTTTTTTTTTTTTTGAGACAGAGTCTCACTCTCTTCCCTGGGCTAGAGTGCTGTGGTGTCAGGCTAGCTCACAGCAACCTCAAACTCCTGGGCTCAAGTGATCCTCCTGTCTCAGCCTCCCAGGTAGCTGGGACTACAGGCACATGCCACCGTGCCCAGCTAATTTTTTCTATTTTTTAGTTGTTTGGCTAATTTCTTTCTATTTATAGTAGAGACAGCATCTCGCTCTTGTTCAGGCTGGTCTCACACTCCTGAGCTCAAGCAATCCTCCTGCCTCAGCCTCCCAGAGTGCTAGGTCTGTATTCAGGTGTGAGCCACCACACACGGCCTACACACATTTATTAATCCACTCGTGTATTGATGGGCACTTGGGTTGTTTCCACATCTTTGCAATTGTGAATTGTGCTGACATACAACGAGTGCAGAGTCTTTATTATAAAGAATGTCTTTTTCCCTTTGGGTAGATCCTAGTAGGAGATTGCTGGATCAAATGGTATTTCTATTTTAGCCTTAAGGTATTCTAAATATACTCTCCACAGGGGGTACTAATTTGCAGTCCCATCAGCAGTGTAAGAGTGTTTCCAATCTCTGCCACATCCACGCCAGCATTTGTTATTTTGGGACTTTTTGATAAAGGCCATTCTCACTGGAGTTAGGTGGTATTTCATGGTGGTTTTGATTTGCATTTCCCTGGTGATTAGAGATGTTGAGCATTTTTTCATATGTTTGTTGGCCATTATTCCACCATTTTTGGAAAGTTTCTGTTCATGTCCTTTGCCCATTTATTGATAGGGTTGTTTGATTTTTTCTTGTTAATTTTCTTAAGTTCTACATGAGATTCTTATTATCAGCCCTTTATCAGATGTGTAGAATATTTTCTCCATTCTTTAGGTTGTCTATTCACTCTAATGATAGTTTCATTGTTGTGCAGAAGCTTTCCTTATTGAGATTTTGAAACAGTTTTAAGTTAGTTATACAAATAGTGATTTTATCTGTATATACTGTTGATTAATAATATTGCTTCTCTCATCCCTTTCCCACCTCCAGATTTTCTGTCATTTACCGTGGACCTTGTCGGACTCACAAAGTGCAAAGATTGGTAAATATACTCAATACAAATTTAAAATCCAGGCATGTAATGAAGCTGGTGAAGGACCACTGTCCAGCATCTATACTTTCGCTACAACCAAAACTCCACCAGCCAAACTTAAAGGTAAGTATTACAAGCCATGACACTGAAAGTTGCATTAGCTTGAGTTCCAATAGCTCACATATAAAATTCAGCTTCAAGGTTTGCTTTAAATATTCACAATACCAAAAGAAACTAGTACTTAGTTATGGAATCAAGGGGCAATGTAGGATTTAATGAGGCGCCTACAATCATAACATATTTAAAATATCCTAGAGATCATATAATTTTGACCAACCCCTCTACCACCAGTGCCATTTTTAATTTTTTATATTTCAGCAGTACAAATGTTTAGGTTACATATGTTGTGTTTGCCCCACCAGAGTCAGAGCTTCAAGTGTGTCCATCCCCCAGACAGTGCATGCCACACCCATTAGGTATATATATACCTATCCCCTCCTCCCCCCTCCCACCTGCCTGACACCCCATAAATGTTATTCCTATATGTCCACTTAGGTCTTGATCCATTAATACAAATTTGCTGGTGAGCACATGTGGTGCTTGTTTTTCCATTCTTGAGATACTTCACTTAGTAGAATGGGTTCCAGCTCTATCCAGGAAAATACAAGAGGTGCTATATCACCATTGTTTCTTATAGCTGAATAGTATTCCATGGTGTACATATACCACATTTTATTAATCCACTCATGTATTGATGGACACTTGGGTTGTTTCCACATCTTTGCAACTGTGAATTGGACCACTGCCATTTTTTAAAAGAAAGAAGCTAGTCCCCTAAATGGTAAGTTGCTTAGCTAAAGGACACCCTGAGTCAGTGGCAGAGCCAAGATTAGAATGGTAGGCTCCTGATTTCCATCTACTTTGTCATGATATCCATTCATTGCTATAACTTTCCTTTTCTCAAATGGATTATTGCACAAAACATAACAATTGATAGGTGTGATTAAAGCTGAAAATTAGACTATATAAGCTTATAAGTTTAATTTCTGAAACTCTGAATATACTCTCCTTATTTGAACAGTAAAATAAAATACTGTTTATAATACATTAGCAATGAGTTCAATTTACTGTCACTAGAGCCTGGGATTTGTGGATTTTTTCCTTCTAAATTGTAAGATTTAGTTGTTCCATTTCATTCACACGTGAGTCTAATCACTATTATAAAAATTTGTCTTCAGTGTAAAGCTAATTGGAAACTATTGGAATTAAGCATGACTTAGACCATAATAATGACTTGCTCTCTTTCTGACTAATGCTCTATATATTTAAGCACCATTTTCCTAAAATGTAGAGCAATTAATAACATGAAATAAGGAGCGTGCCCTACTTACCTCACACAGTTGCTGCCATACTAAAATAAAATTATTAGTATATGTGAAAATCCTTCCAAATGTGTAATGTGCCATATGAATACAACAGATTATACCAGTAGGGATTAAACAAAAGTAATAAAAGTCATAATGAGATCTTACTAGAAAGTCTAAACATGCATTATTAATTGATAGTTTTAATTTCTTAAAGTTTTTATTATAATCATTAAGATGCCTGATGGTATATAACAAAAGGCTTTACAATAATAACTACAACGATATATTTCTTAGATTAAGGCTTTGCAGGCTGATTTTAATGACCATGCAATTGTGTGAGGTTACAATGTATTTGAGATCCTCTAGGGAAAATGGAACTCTCTAATCTGAAATTCTCTTTTTTCAGCACCTAAATTACATCAGCTGAATAACAATATTTGTGAGATCAAATGGGAGGCTTTGGGGCCAATAAAAGGAGATCCCATTGTTTACAATCTTCAACTCACCAGTGAAAAAGGAACTGACCTGGTAAATCCTTGCAAATTTAGTCTTTAAAAATTTATAGTTTTATAGCCTGCTGGGGATTGAGCTTTTGTGATGGAGTAAGATATTCTCTCAGTATGTTTAAAGTAACTAAATCGTATTCAAAAGTCCCATCCAGTCCCTAAAGTTTATGTACATAATTACTTATTTTGGGACAATTAGCTTATTCATTCAATTAGCTTATTTACTATTGAGTTATTTGGTATTTCTCAGTTCCATCAACTACAATGCACAACTCAATTCTAAATCTAATGCAACTAAACTTTAACAATTGTAAGTCTTTGCTATTTCTTACATTAAACAAAATTACCTAAACAGTGCTGGGCCCACAGGACATTAGAGACTTTGTTAGAGTAAATTTTTATTTTTATTGTGAACATGCTCATGAGATCAATAAATTCATATTTTTCCTATTGCTGAAAACCATACAATATTATTTTACTTAGTAATAAAATACAATTTTCATTTTTACTCCTTTTCCTTTAGATTTACAAAGGACCAAACACTTCATTCTCCTTTTCCAACTTTCTTACAAATTCACATTATCGCTTCAAGGTCTGCGCTGGACGCCAATATCAAAATTCTGCTGGGATACAAGAGCTTTGGGGATCATATAGCCCCAGTGCTCTTTTCTCAACTCACAAGCAACAGCCAGGGTCTGGCAAAGGCGGTGGAGGGAAAGGAAGAAACAATGCTAAAGAAGAGAAAGAAGAAAAGCCTAGGATAGAGATGAGCGATGATACATTTATTCTATTCCTTGTTATGGGATTTGCAATTGTTGCCATCCTTTGTGCTGTTGCAATCCAACACTTCCTAATCAATTAGACTATTCTTACACATTTTCATCTTCTTAGGAAGTTCTGAAACAAATTACATCATATATAGAAATTGTTAGATACACCTCAATTCTTAAAAGAAAAGCTCATTTGGTAGAAATTCTTAAAAACTTTTACCTGACAGTGAAAGAACTGCCTTAATATTCAAGAAATTCATTGTGACAGTAGAAGAGATTTTTTTAGGAAATAGATCTATTTTAAATTGCATAATTTTAGCAACAAAAACACTCCAATTATTATATAAAACTAAAATCTCTAATGGAAACTATTTCCTGCCTTAAATTTTCAAATGAATATTTTGCAAACTTTTTAGAATTATGAAAAGACAACATTTTAGAATTTTACTTAGAACAAAGTAGAAAAAATCAATTCTACATGTCAACTTACATTCATATGAAATAATAAAAACGTATCTACCAACCTTCTGTACTGTAATTTTTTCAAAGTCATATATTCAACTGTTTGGTTTGTACCCTGATAATTACTTTGATAGTGTGGAAATAGTCATTTACAGCACTTTGGAAATGGAAATAAGGGTGTAGAAAGCCATTTTATACCATTCTAAATTCTAAAATACATCCTGTGTTGGTTACGGTCTAATCAGAATGATTAAACATTATATATGTAATGACTCATATGTTTACATGGCATCTTAAAATCATTTGCTCTTATGGTAGATGGATTCGCATCCATTTCTAGTTACAAATGAAGTATCTCTTCTTTGTTTTCATAATCCAACCTGGTTTTGGAAATCTTCCAAGAGACTTTTGCCTTTATTGAAAATCTTTAAATATTATATCTTATTTGAGAGTTTGCTCTTTGTGTTTTAAAACTTAAAATCATAAATTCAAGGTGAAAGTACCTGATTTTTGTGTGAGCTAATAATTTTGGCATAGTCTGCCACATTTTCTTTCATTGAGTATTTTACTGATATGTGGTGTGTTATAGAATAAGTAATATAGTCAACTTAAAAATACTTTCGAAGCATTAAATTATTGAAGTTAAAACATTGAAGATGCTTACTAACATGGTTGTTCAATTTAGAGTTTGAGTTTAATATATCAAAAACATAAAACAGTTTTCTTCAGAAGCAGCCTGTGATACAATATGAATCCACATTTTAAAATTATTCCCCTTCATTTTATTTGGAGATTACTGAAAATGGAAATGTAGTAAATCATTATGTATAAAGAACTTTTTAACACACAATGATATTTTAAAACCAGCTGAAGAATTTATATTATCACTTTCTCTTTGCCTTAATCAAACATTTAATTAAAATTTTACCTGGCAGAAGACATTTTTAAAATATGTTAAAATATATCACCTCTTTAGTAATTTGCTTTTAAGGTAAAATGGTAAATTATGTTGATTTAAAATATCTTTTGAAATTGATAGACTGAATATATTTTAATTTGATGAAAGTAAATGCTTTCCATCATGTATATTTCACATACCTACATTCATCAAACTGATTGGGAACCTACTATTTGCATTTATTACAATTTAACTATGATAGAAAACATTTTTAAATACCAATAAAAGCAATAAAAATTATTCACCTACTTACTATTCTTGAAATGGTATTTGTGCAAGTTTATTGATTGAGAATAATTATCCTTTTGGTATTACATGCTTATGTCCTTCTAAACAAACTAGAAAAATTAAAACTAATTCAAGATGTTTTCAATTTCCTTTTAAGACACTGTTTTATGAATCTTGTTTCTTAAGTCTTTCAAATTCTAGGGCATAATATATTTGATGTGGTAAGCTAAGTATCAGGAGACTAAAGTTCTAGTCCCATCTCTGCTATTAACAAATTGTGTGACCTTAAACTAATCCTTTCCCTTTTGTAGGCCTTAATTCATGTAAAATATTAATAAACAAATCTAATTAGATAGATGGTCTTTAGGGTACTTTTCACATCTAGAAATCTATGCTGATAAACAAATCAACTATCATATAGGAATACTAAACTCAGGCAGATTAGCAGATTAAAGTCATAATTCTACATAGCAGTATAGATAAACAGCAATCAGTCTGATTGAAAAGCCAAAGGAACCTACTAGCAGCTATCTTAGGTAGAACTAACAGGAGTCCCTATGCTTTCTTAGACCCCAGATTTGCCTTGCTTGTTTCTTTCTCCAATGCTACCCACTGATGGTTTTTTTCCTAGAGCACTGGGAAATAGAAAAATCTCCATAATATCTCAGCTACCTTCTTATCCATGAAGGAAGTCCATGACTTCTTCCTGATTGTCTAAGCATTATTCATGGCTAGCTACCTGAGAAAACAGAAGGGTGAAGAAGTCTTATCAGTGATTGGCCTACCTTCTTAAAACACAGAATCACCTAAGATTTGGGCATAGAAAAGCTCTTAAAGAGGAATTCTTGGTGAGAATAGAATGATATCACTGATCAACTCAGATACCCAAAGCTTGATACCCTTTTTTTTTGGGGGGGGGGAGTCCCATTTTGACACACACTTAATCCCCAGATATACACTGCTTCCACTTTAATACATGTGCCCAACTGGGATTTTAACCCCCTTTCTGAATTAACTATATTATTTAATAAAATTAGACTTCAAAAAAAGTTGTGTTAAAAACCTTTCTTTGCTTTTCTTTACCACAGTTCAGACAGTTTTAATTTTCAAAATTACTTCACTAAATACTAAGGCAGAAATGAATGAAACAAGCATATTTAGAAAAAATCAATAATTTACATATATTAATATAATACAAAGAAATAATAAAAAACAATTCAGTATATAAATAGGAAATTTATCAAAGTGATAGATATCATAAAAAAGAACCAAACATACTGTCATTAAAACAGACACATAGACCAATGGAAAAGAATAGAGAACACAGAAATAAATCCATGCATCTACAAAGAACTCATTTTTGACAAAGGTGCCAAGAACATACACTGGGGAAAAGACAGTCTCTTCAATAAATGGTTCTGGGAAAACTAGGTATCCATATACAGAAGAATGAAACTAGACCTTCATCTCTCACCATACACAAAAATCAAATCAAAATGGGTTAAAGACTTAAATGTAAGACCTGAAACTATGAAACTACTAAAATAAAATATTGGGGAAGCACTCCAGGACATTGAGGAGGAACTATAATCCACATCTTATACATGAGAAAACTGAAGCTGAGAGAGATGGCATGACTAATCATGGGCCTTGCAGTTTTAGGTGGAGCTGGGTTGGAAATTCCTAGACTAACTCTGAAATCCTTTCCTCTATATAAGAAGGCATTAGAAATTTTCCCAGCCTCTGCTTTTGTCATGTTGCAAAGGTTAACCCAGTCTGTAAAAGTGTATTAAAATAAGAAATGCTTCTAGAGACATGAGGTCAACCAAAATTTGGGGATGGCAAGGTGAGGAGAGATAGAAAGTAGATTGTAGGCCAGGTGCAGTGGCTCACGCCTGTAATCCTAGCACTCTGAGAAGGCCAGACAGGAGGATAGCTCTAGGTCAGGAGTTCGAGACCAGCCTGAGCAAGAACGAGACCCTGTTTCTACTAAAAAAATAGAAAGAAATTAGCCAGACAACTAAAAATACATAGAAAAATTTACCAGGGCACAGTGGTGCATGCCTATAGTCCCAGGTACTCAGGAGGCTGAGGCAGGAGGATTGCTTGAGCCCAGGAGTTTGAGGTTGCTGTGAGCTAGGCTGATGCCATGGCACTCACTCTAGCCAGGGCAACAGAGTCAGACTCTGTCTCTAAATAAATAATAAATAAAGAAAGAAGGAAGGAAGGAAGGAAAGGGAAAGGGGAAAGGGAAGGAAAGGAAAGGAAGGAGATTGTAAATTGTTGAACTAGATGATCTAGCTGTTGACTAGATATAATGAATCTCAGAAAAGCTGTGAATGTTGATCTAGTGAATGCTTCTGCTGATTTTTCTCATCCAGCAAAACCTGTCAGTATCCAGGTATCACAAACAGAAGCCTTTACCAGAATGTTAGGACTTGTTCACCCTAAATTAGAATGCAATGTTAACAGCATCATTTCACATTGCCCTGAATCCAGCCTAGATAGTCTACTAATTTCCCATAAGAACAATTACTGGCCTCTGCAAATCCTTTGTGAAATAAGATAGAGTATAAGAAACAAATACAATTGATAAACACAAAGAAAAACCACATTAACTCTACAAATTTTCTTTCAGGAGTAGTAATTGCACAGAAAGTTTTTAGGGAAAGAGAATAAGAAAGGACCAACAGTAATTGTGCAGATACTGAAGGGATTAGATGATTAGATTCTGCCAAATAGAATAAGGTGTTATTAAAGCTAGACTGACAAGAAAACTAAGATCTTATGTTTGTACTTGTAGTAAGTGAATCAATGACTAGTCATTTGCTAAACATGAATCCTTAATAATTATTGTGGTGGAGATTCCAGAAGAACACCATCATAACTGAGTCCTTGAAGGACATTATGAGATTCTTGCGTTCACTCACACATATATTTAATAAACATTTATTGTATCAAGTACTGGGGATACGAAAATGAAAAAGAACCAAACAGAAATTCTGGAACTGAAGAAGTCATTGAATGAAATACAAAACACATTCCAAAGCATCAACAGTAAAACAGATCAAGCAGAGGAAATAATTTCAGAACTTGAAGATAGGACAGGTCTTTTGAAACAACCCAATAAGATAAAAATAAAGAAAATAGAAGAAAAATAAACTATCAAAGCCTAAGTGACATGTGGGATACCATAAAGTGACCAAATATTCAAATTTGAGGTGTCCCAGAAGGCAAAGAGAAAATGACATAGATAGAAAATCTATTTAATAAAATAATAGCAGAAAATTTGTCAAGTCTAACAAGAGATTTGGACATCTAGATACAGGAAGCTCAGAGATCCCCAAATAGATACAATGCAGAAAAGTCCATGGCACATCATAGTCAAACTGCCAAAAGTAAAAGAGAGAATTCTAAAAACAGCAAATGAATATACCCAACCCACATAACCTAAACATTTGTACCCCCATAATATGCTGAAATAAAAAAGAAAAAAAAATATCAAGTGAAAACTGCCTAGTCACTTGTAAGGGAACCCCATCAGACTGATAGATGAATTGTTAGCAGAAACTTTACAGGCCGGGAGATAATGGGATGACATATTCAAAATGCTGAGATTTTGCCAGAGAAGAGATGGCTAACTAGACACAGGCAGTATGTGCCTCCTCTGCAGAGAAGAACCAGAATAGTAACCAGATACATTTGAACAGATCATCTGGGAGAAAACACTAGGATTCACCAGGGAAACAATGGGAAGCACCAAAAGTGGGCAAAGACAGGGTTCAGGGCAACTTGTCTG